TAATGTTAATTGTCAAAAAGTTTTGTGGCAAATTCTAATGTTTTCTTGTAGTGATGCAAAGAGCCGTGCCTACGTTAAAGAAAATAAAACATTCGCTTAGGGCAGCAAAAAAAACTTTTTGTTATAGCGCAGCAATTTTAATAATTTTATATAATAACCCTTATTAGTTATATTAAGATGATCTCAAATAATAATCTATACATATGGTATGATAGCACTTTACTGAAGAATTTTACTGTATAAGTAGACTATATATGGACTTGCAAGAAAAAAAAAATTAAAATAAAGCAACAACATTTAAGTATTTTCTATTCAAAAAAATATTTAAGTAATTTGAAAATTAGAAATAATTGTTATTACTAGAGAATTTGGGTAAAAATATAGACTTTTTTTCCTTTCTTTCACTTTGTGACTGATTTTATATTGACAATTTCTGATTAAATTTTATTGTTCACTTGATTATGTCAAACAAATATTAAATAATATGACTTTTTTGAAAAAATATGTCTATTTTATCCATTTGAAAGTTTGGTAAATAATTAAAAAGTAATGTTTTATAAATAAATTTTAGTTTATTAATTTTATTTTATTGTTTTACTATGTATTATATATATTTTTATAAAAAAACATTATTGAATAAAAGCATTTTTAAAAAAAATTCGCTTCTGGAAACGGTAAAGGTCGGCACGGCTCTGGTGATGCATGTTGATTTTTATATTACTTGTTCATGTTTTTTAGTGAGAACAAAAGTTATCAATAATAATGTAAAACTCATAGACAGGGAGAGGAGGCCATGCCACCGACGAGGTTGGTAAAAACTCATCCATAAGAATGTTAGAAACTGGCTAAACAGCTTATGATGTATTATTGATTTGGTAGTAGACTTCCATTAAGAATAGTTCTAATTTTCCTAAACTGAAAACAATGAAACACTTTGATGCAAAAAGATTTTTGATTGAAACTAATTTTACATTCGTTAAAAAAGCTATCAGTACGTAATGTGGTACGTAGATGGAATGTTTATTAGATGTGAACTTTGAATTACGCTTCAATTTTTTTATCGCAGTCATAAGAACACTTAAAATAGTTATGCATTTCATATATATTTACACTACCATAATTCTAAAATAGATTGTAGATGTTTGTCGTACTTTTAAAACACAAATTCTGCTGTGTTTCCTTTTTTTCGCTCAACACGTTTTTTTCACTTTTAAAAAATTTTGTTTTCAAAACAAAACTCGCACATTTTACAAATCAAATATTTAAATACAGTTTATTTTATAAAAAAAAAGAAAAATAAATATGTATTGTTTAATGACATTGGAATACGATGATATAAATGATTTACACTTTGTTAATCTATTACAAATATATCAAATATTACTTTTCAATATAGAATTATCAATTAAAATTAATGTTCGGTTTGTAAAACTTAAGGGAAAAAAAAAAACTTGAAAGAAACTGTTTACAGGTTGTAGACGAATATCTTTTATATATATACCGGGCTCTCACGTGTTTATGAATTTAATATATTTGACTAACGGGCTTAGAAAATATAAGCTATAGTTTCTATTAGTGGGAAAGACATAAACAATAGATAGAATAATACTCTACAATTTTTATATTTTCATAAAGAATAATAATGACAATGCATTGTCGGACATACAGACCAACAAATGGAATCGACTTATGTAACTTTTTAATCACGGGATTAAATCCCTTAACCCAATGTCCTAATTGGTATTTAATTTTGATTACTTCGATGCTACGTATTGTCATATCTTGATCACGTGCCGCTAGAATGTATACGGGCGTATAATATGGAGAAAATCAGAAAAATCAGTTTTAGTAATCCGAATTTGATAAAAACGATCACAGTATGCATGAAATTTCCAAATAGATTGGTTACTTGCAGTTTAAGAAACTGGTGAACTTTATTACAGCACGAAGAGAAGAGAATCAAAGAAACAAGATCCGGTTTTTTGGCAACAAGTAACGTTTTTGAGTTCAGACACTTTGCTTCTTACTTCAAATTACCAGTACAATGCCAAGTTCCTACTTCCTAGGTCTAAAGTCAGTTTTCGAGTATTCAGAAAATTATTAGGCGTCTAGATCAAATAGTTCTTTCTTCTTTTTTACTTGTTTCATGCAATTAGGTCAACAGTTATTATTTTTATAGCTTCCAAAAAAAATTCTTCTTTTTGACATCTATCATTTTCAATTCATACATGTCACATTACGACATTATCGAATTTAAATCCGATTAAAGCACGATGACAACATTTATAAAACCCAATACATTACCAATCCCATTCTTAAGATCTATAGTCCTTTGATTCAGTAATAATAAAAATGACAGCTCTACAAAGCGTTAATCATTTTATTTAAATGTAGCGTCATATATTTGAATTTAACTAAGATAAGATCAACGAGTTTTCTTATATTCAATTTAAATTTCGGTTTACCAAAAACCTAACCATTGTAGTTGTTTATTATTAACAATTGTGTGTAGTAGTTGAAAAATGAAAACACTTATCAAGTTGAAAAATCACATGAAGGTGACATATTAACTAAGTTACATTCTGTCTATTAAACTATAAGCATTGGGGAAAATATTTTTTTCTATTTGTATCGAAGTTTTTCTCTAGGAATGAAAAAGAAACTTTTGAGGACATAAAAGTCAAACGGGAATAAACTAAAGGCAAGTAAGCAGTGATGGAGCTAAAGCAACACTTTGCTCTTTTAATTATGAAACATTTGATTTGACCTCCACTTCCCTTGGCTTTTCTTTGTTGTACTTATTGAAACCTAAAAATATCACAATTAGCACATAACATGAGTTATTATATAATATATATAGTCTTAGAGGTATTTTAATTAGTTTTGAAAACTTACGACCCATTTTGCAGTTTATATGACTAATTCATTCTTTGTTTAGGATTTATCTTCTCTTTTGGTTTTAGGGTGATCAAACACTTCCAGTTAGACATGGGCATCTAGTTTAACTAGATTGGAATTTTGATTTATTTAATTTCTTCAGTTATTTATTCTTGAGAGAAGTGGAAAAATATGAAACACCGATCAGTGTAAATGTACCGAACCAATAATAATACTCCCCTTGTTTATTACTCGTCCAAATAGAAGAAAAATAAATGTGATGTTATGTATAAACCGCTGTTTATTGGGCATTCATATCTAATCCCCTTGTTTAAAAGAGAACTGTATCTTAGACTAAACCACACACTAAACCCAAATAATCCGAATAGATTAACCTAATAAGGCATTTTCATGTAACTTTCTAAGGTCCATATATTAAGTTATATGACTTTAGTTTATACTATTCATCTGTTGGAAAAAAAAAACACATACTCGACTAATGCAAAAGACCCCATTATAAAACTAACAAGACTTGTGGTTTGTGGCTTTTACTATTATATTTACTGTAGTTAAAGTGTGTGTTAACAACCTTTTTGAATTTTTATCAGCTGAATTAGTTATTTATTCAAAAGTGGGTAAAGTTAACAGCCTAACACATCGACCTTTCACTAAACAGAATCTTAGAAAATGTTAAAATTTATGAGAGAATACAAGAAAGCTAAAAACAAAATAAAGGAAAAGGAACAGTAATTGAGTGAAATGATTAACCTACACCCCTTTTATTTTATATGGATATGTTGCAATAATGTGGGGCACATTTTCTTATCCTGAATCATAAGAGATTTAATAAAGAATATCATACTAAAACATATTCAATTACATAAAAACTAATTATGTGAGTATTTGCTAAAAAGAATTTAGTTAGATGTGCAGAACTTAATCGTTTAATTGCAGTTTTCCATTAGGTTTTCTTTTACCAAAATATAACAAAATTTATGGTTGTTTAGCTGATTTGCCGGTTAACAGATCAATATTTTGTCTAACAAATCATAACTAAGGTCATGTGATAATTTTAAATCTTTTAGTTGTTGATTCGCCTAAACCTGATTAGGTACCTATAAAAATACACAGTGTACATTATAAATTTTCACTTAAAATAATACAAAGAATGTTTTTTCCTGTATTAGTATATAATAATAAACTTGTGGCATAAGGATGACCCTCCAAATAATCATATAATTTGTAGACAAAACCGATTTTTGTCATAAAGAAATTGTTTGCAGAATCTCCGTGACGGTTGATAAAACAATAACTCATAATAATTATAACCAGCAGATAAATAAAAGCAGCACATGGAATGATGGAAGCCATTTGCCCAAGGATAATTCTTGTAAGAACAACACATTACCAAAAAGCTAATAATAATGATAAAAACAGCAGAGACATTCGAACCATACATTAAAAAATAAAAAAAATATCATTCAAAGAAATTAAGCTAGATTCGATTTTGATTGTTTGATCTCTACTTGCTGTATGAACAAAAGAAACATAAAACAGTAAACAAAACTGAAGGATCTATGTAAAGTCAAAAGGAAAAAAATAAACTAAACAAGCTGTAACTGCAGATCATGTTATGTCTTGTAGCTATTAAATCCTACGACCTACAAGATTCTACTTAATTTCTTATTAGAGAAATGTACGTACTTATTCAGAGAATAACTCAATTTATTATAGTTTATAAAAATCCATACGATAAATAACTCAATCTATTTACAGTTTTGACGTTTTGTCATCAAAATGACCATGATACTCTAGTGTTTAACCGAAAGTTTTTTTTTTCTAAAGTATTATTTCCTTTTAATTTGGGTGGTAATTTCAGGAAATAAATCTGTTATTATATTCAATGATTAATGGACCCTGGAAACTGGAGTCTGGAAGTGCAAAAACGCATTGATTATAGTATTTATAAAACTCTGCAGATTTTGCAGAGAGAGCAGGAACAGAGGTTTGGTTTCGTTGCGTGAGCTGTTTCCCTTTCACATGGTCTCAATTCCTCTTTAAATCTCTCTTCTTCTTCCTCTTGACTCTCTCTCTCCAAAGATGCTGTTTCTTCCTCGGAAGCCATGAAAATAGGATTAGTTTTACGGATTTTCTTCTTCTTCTTCTCTACCCTTCTTCTTGTCTCCTCGGGTTTAAACTCTGATGGAGTTCTCTTGATGACTTTCAAATATTCTGTTCTTCTTGATCCTCTGTCTTTACTGCAGTCATGGAGTTACGACCACGACAATCCCTGTTCGTGGCGAGGCGTGTTGTGTAATAACGATTTCAGAGTTGTGACTTTGTCTCTCCCAAACTCTAAGCTCGTTGGCTCGATTCCTCCCGATCTGGGTTTCCTCCAAAACCTCCAAAGTCTCGATCTTTCCAACAATTTGCTAAATGGGTCTTTACCGGCTGAGTTTTTCGCCGCCGGTAAGCTCCAGTTTTTAGACCTCTCAAACAACTTGTTCTCCGGCGAGATCCCACCGACGATCGGTGATATGCACAATCTCCAGACGTTAAATCTCTCCGATAATATCTTGGCGGGAAAGTTACCGGCCAATTTGGTGTCTCTTGGAAGCTTAACGGAGGTTTGTCTGAAGAACAACTACTTATCCGGCGAACTTCCCGGCGGATGGAGATCCGTTCAGTTTCTAGACATCTCTTCAAATCTGATCAACGGTTCACTTCCACCGGATTTCTCCGGCGACAATCTCCGGTACTTGAATGTCTCGTATAACCAGATCTCTGGCGAGATTCCTCCCGATGTCGGTGCCGGTTTCACTCGAACCGCCACCGTCGATTTCTCCTTCAACAATCTAACCGGTTCAATCCCAGATTCTCCGGTTTTCCTTAACCAGAAATCAATTTCGTTTTCTGGAAACCCGGGTTTATGCGGAGCTCCGACCCGAAACCCGTGTCCTATTCCTTCCTCTCCAGCCACCGTCTCCGGCGCTGCCACGCCGACTTCTACGCCTGCCCTCGCAGCTATACCGAAAACAATCGGTTCAAATTCAGAAACCGACCCGAACGGACCGGCTGACAACAACCAAAATCCCAAAACCGGGTTAAGATCCGGAGTTATAATCGGAATCGTCGTCGGAGATGTCGCCGGGATCGGGATCCTTGCTTTAATATTCTTCTACCTTTACAGATACAAGAATAAGAAAAGCCTGGAGAAGAACACACAAAGTTTAGAAGCCAACGAGGTTAAAGACACAACTTCATTATCACCATCATCATCAACTACATCTTCTTCCTCTCCAGAACAATCCAATAGATTCGGTAAATGGTCTTGTCTCCGTAAAACCCAAGAAATCGATGAAACCGAAGAAGAGGAAGAAGAAGAAGAAGGAAATCAAGGGGGAGGAGAAAACAAAAAAGGGACATTGGTCACCATTGATGGAGGAGAGAAGGAGCTTGAAGTAGAAACTCTGCTTAAAGCTTCAGCTTACATTTTAGGAGCCACCGGTTCGAGTATAATGTACAAAACGGTTCTCGAGGACGGTACGGTTCTCGCGGTTCGTCGGTTAGGTGAGAACGGTTTGAGTCAACAACGCCGGTTTAAGGACTTTGAAGCACATATTCGAGCTATCGGCAAGTTGGTTCACCCGAATTTGGTTCGTCTCCGTGGATTCTACTGGGGCACCGACGAAAAACTGGTCATTTACGATTTTGTCCCTAACGGCAGCCTCGTCAACGCCCGTTACAGTAAGTCATCATCATCTCACTTTTCTTTCAATCTCTTTCTCGCTTTATGATAAAGGCGCGTGTTAGCATATTATCTCGGGGTTTTGCTTCGGTACGCATAGGTTGGTGGTAGTTAGGTTAAACCTGCTCTGATAAGATCAACGACATGGGTCAAAATTTTATTATTCGTGCTATCTTGCGCACATTTGCTGAGTGTGTTTCCGATTGAACAGGGAAAGGAGGATCGTCGCCGTGCCATTTACCGTGGGAGACTCGGCTCAAGATAGCAAAAGGTTTGGCTCGTGGACTTGCTTACCTCCACGAGAAGAAACACGTGCACGGTAACTTGAAACCTAGTAACATACTTTTGGGCCAAGATATGGAGCCCAAGATTGGCGATTTCGGGCTTGAAAGGCTTCTTGCTGGCGATACTAGCTATAACCGAGCTAGTGGGTCATCTAGGATTTTCAGTAGCAAGCGATCAACAACAGCAGCATCCTCGCGTGAATTCGGGCCTACACCGAGCCCGAGTCCAAGCTCAGTTGGGCCTATATCTCCTTATTGCGCACCTGAGTCGCTCCGCAACCTTAAACCGAACCCGAAATGGGATGTTTTTGGGTTCGGAGTGATTCTTTTAGAGCTTCTCACGGGCAAAATTGTGTCCGTGGACGAAGTCGGAATCGGAAATGGGCTGACCGTAGAAGATGGGAACCGGGCGTTAATAATGGCTGACGTGGCGATCCGGTCTGAATTGGAGGGCAAAGAGGACTTTTTACTTGGTCTTTTCAAGTTGGGATATAGTTGTGCATCTCAAGTTCCACAAAAGAGACCGACCATGAAGGATGCTTTAGTAGTCTTTGAAAGGTTCCCTATTATCTCTTCGTCTAAGTCTCCATCGTACCGTTACGGACACTATTAATGTTCGATCTTTACACTAACTTTGTAACCCTCTCTTTGAGGCCGAAGTATATACACATTTAGCAAATCTCGCTCTTGTTATTTGTTCACTTGAGTTTTATTATATATATGAATTTTAGGATATTACAAAAGTGTGGTCATGAATTTGGCGTTCGGTAAAAGCTTGTTGTTACTAAAACATTTGAATATGAACAAATTCTACTTTAACTTAATTCTATTTTCCGAACGTAAAACAACAAAACCGATCCCAAACCGGAAAATTGATCCGTGTAATTTCAACCGGTACGTAAAATAAATAGATTAGTAGTAAACCGGAAGTGATCTGACCCCAAAAAATCCCAAATCCGAATCTATCAAATCTCCGTCTCCTCCGTCGCAGTTTCCGAGGCAGAGAGAGAGCGAAACAGAGACAGTGACAGAAGTTGAGAGAGAGCACGACGTTGGTGTTTCTATGGAATCCGAAACCACAGGTGGTGTCTCTGCAGCAGCCACCGATGATCTCCAATCGAGCGGCTCATCGTCTCCCGCCGACGCCGTTTCACGGTTGATCCACGCCGTGGAGCAGCGGCAACAGCATCTCCTCGACAAGACGGTTCCTCACGTTCTCTATCGATGGATCGCATGTCTCTGTGTCGTATTGATCTACTTTGTGCGCGTCTTCTTACTGGAAGGCTTCTACATCATCACCTACGCCATCGGAATCTACCTTCTGAACCTCATCATCGCCTTTCTCTCCCCCCAGGAAGATCCCGAGGCCTCTATCACCGGCGGGACTCTTCCTACTCGTGGATCCGATGAGTATCGACCATTTGTTCGCCGTCTCCCCGAGTTCAAATTCTGGTTTGTCAATTTTCCGCAATCTGTATAGATCTCTTGAATATCCCGCAATGGATTGAATTGTTAGACTGTTAGATCTGATCGTGCCGTACCTGAAGATGGATAATTTTCTAGGGTTTTAGTAGACAATTTGGGCATATTCTTATATTGGTTTGATAATCACTGTATCGCTTGTACGCTTGAGAAGATGATAGAAGTTTGATGACTTGCTTGTTGAGATGATGCTCAACTATTGTAGACTTGGATACAGTTCTGCAGAGAAACTTCAGAAATTGAAAAGTTTGAACTTTTGGAATACACATATCATTCTTTTGGCCTTTGGGGTTACAATCAATCTAAATTTTCATGAAGTGAAACAATTCGATTCATCTCATACTAAGTTGTTTTGCTGAAGATTGCATAAACATACCATTTTGAATTGAAATGTTCTGTGTTTCGCCAATAGTATTGATCTTAGACAATGTTGAAGGTTGAATAAAGATGCCATTTTTGGAATTTGTGGCTGCTTGATGGCCTTTTTTCCTGTTTTGATTTGTTATTTGAAGATTGAAAATGTTGTGTGTGTTTATCATCCACTAGGTTATCGATCATTAGAGCATTCGTCATCGGTTTTATGATGACGTTCTTCGAAGTCTTTGATGTACCTGTTTTCTGGCCAATACTTCTTTTCTACTGGGTGATGTTGTTCTTCCTCACGATGAGGAAACAAATACAACATATGATCAAATACAGATATGTTCCTTTCTCTTTCGGGAAACAGGTATGTGCTTCTTTTTTCTCCTTCGCATAAACATTCATGTATGAACAAGTTAAGTAATCGCTTTCTGACTTCATCCTCCTCGGTTGCTTCTTCTAGCAGCAATATGGAAAGAAACCGGCTCCAACAGAGAGCAGTGAATGATCAATCTTGAGGAAGTAGCGGTTTCAGGTCAGCAATTTCTAAATCCTCTTGAGAAAAGTAGCAGTTTTAGAGGTTGGTCTTTTTTTTTTTTTTTTTTTTTTTGTCTTTTGATCACCCGAAGCTTTGTTTATGGATGAAGTAGAAGAGACAATCAAATCAGATAGACTCTCGTAGCCTGTCTCAGACAGATTTTTTGGCTTTTTTTGTTATCATCCTAAACTATTTCACCTGAATACAATGTATCTTATTATTTACATCTTTTTGTCAATGGGAATAATTTTTATATTTGGACCCTTTCGTAATCATCATGGTTCATGAATTGCGTCCTAGTTTCGAAAGAAGATGAGGATTTAGATATGATTAAGGTGTTTTTTTGGACAAAATAGTTACTGAGTCATTCTTGATTCTATAGTTTGATTAATACGATGTTTCATTGAATAAGAATGCTACTCAATAACTCAGAATCTAGACGAATCACTAGTAGTAAAACAGAGTACGTATGCATCATTCACAATATGTGATTGAGGTAATAATATGCCAAATAAAATAAAAAAATCAGTTTCCGTTGTACCTCATTCACAAAATGTAGTTTTCATTTTGTATTTTTTAAATGGTCAAAGGTCTTTCGAAACAGTTTTTTTTTTTCTTACACAAAATAATGGAGGATTTGGACTATTGTCACAATCTTTTTCTGCCGTCACATGGCAATGATAATGTTGCGTTTAAAGTGTAAATTACTCCTCCCAAATAAATTTGACTTTGATCTTTTGTTTTGTCAGAATTATTAGATCACAACATAATTAGAAGAAATAAATATTGTTGAATGGGAGTTTTCTTTCATTCAAAGCCAATATATCAAACGTTATATTAAAAAAAAGAAACATGTTATAGATGTAATCCTTTCATTCAAAGATATCAAAACGTTTTAATAATTAATTTGTGAACAAAATGAAGAGAAAATGTTGCTATAGAGAGGAAAAAGAAGAGAAAATGTTGCAACTTTCGGTGAGGAAAAAGAAAGAAACGTCTTTGATGTCTCTAGGAGGAATAAATAGTCTGAAACTCTGAAGGGTTTCGTCAGCTTTCCGTCATTGACCTTGAGTGTCTCTTCAGTCAAGTTTTGTGTGTACTTTGCTTTTCTTTTCTTCTTTCTCAACTCTCTCCTTTTGTTTAGCGGCTCTCAAATTTTAGATACGGTGTTTGATTGATAACCTTTTATTTTATGGCAGCCATACAAACTTTATCATTTTAATTATTATTATATATAAACAATAAGAAACAATAGTAGTATTTGTATGTTGAATATTCAAATGTAGCCATTTACTCCACTTCATAACAAGTGTCTTTTTATATTTCTAATATAATTTTTTAAACAAAAATCTAGTTTTAATCTTGTTATATTAATATATTAATTAGGAAAGAAAGTTATTTAGTATATTTATAAAAAATAAATATATTTTTTTATTAAATTTTTTAATTTTTATAAAAAATGTCAAATTGACACTTTTTATGAAAGATAAAAAGTATATCCGAACCTCTAAATTTTTAAAAATTCAAAACAAATTGAAAACAAGTAAAAATAATGTTTAAGCTTTTATTGTACTATAGGAAAACGAATAATATAGTGTGAAATTACTCTGGTGTCATCATAGATGTAGTATAAGCTTTTAAGTTAATAATCAAAATAAAGTATAGGCTTTAAGTTAAATAATGAGAATTAAACAGCTTAGTGTTTATGGTTTTTAAGTTGTTTTCCACAACAACCAACCTAAAACCTGAAGACATCATCATAAGTGAAGAAGCAAGAAAAAAAATAGACGTAAAGAAGTAAAATTAATGAATTAAAAAAAAAACAAAAGGATGATGACGAAAAGTCAACTCCACCACGCTGGCGAAGACAAAACTTCTGCGATTAAGTTAAAATTGGGTCCCACTTCTAAATCAGATCTTACGGCTGACGACCAAAGTTTGACCCGATCCTCTCTTTCAACTGCCTCCTCTTATCTTTTTTTCGTCTGTTCTGACTTATTATGACTCTTTTACATTATTAATATTACTTCTTTTTTTCTTCGTTTCTCAATACAAAAAAAATGTTCAACATTTTCCGTTTTGTATTTCCAAGAAATCACATGCATTCTTACTTCTTAATTGCATAATTACCATATATATGAGACTGAGAACCTTTTAAATTCATAATAGTTGTTCAATGGTTGAATATTACTGCTGTAACAAACACGTGTAATAACTTTGTTTTCTTTCTTTCGTCCACATGTGATTTTGCTAAAACCCTAATTTTGTACAAATATTGACTTTTTGATGTAACAAAAAAAGAAGGAAATTGACTCTTAACAAACAAGATTAGACAGTAAAGTAGCAAAACTCTATTTATGAACATGGAAAAGTCAGTCACCTAAACTTTATTTTAAACTATTTCGTTTTTTTTTTCTCCTTCTTACTTAGTCCCCTTCAAATCTCAGAAAAAGTCCACAACTCTCTCGCTTCTTCCATCTTCTAGAGAGAGAGAGGTTTTATGGCGGTGGAGCTCATGACTAGAAATTACATCTCCGGCGTCGGAGCCGATAGTTTCGCCGTTCAAGAAGCTGCTGCTTCAGGGCTCAAAAGTATAGAGAATTTCATCGGTTTAATGTCTCGTGAAAGCTTTAACTCCGATCAACCATCTTCGTCTTCTTCCCCCGCCGTCGTCGCCGCAGATCTTGAATCAGCTCGTAACACGACGGCGGACGCGGCGGTTTCCAAGTTTAAAAGAGTTATCTCTCTCTTAGATCGGACTCGAACCGGACACGCCCGGTTTAGACGCGCTCCGGTTATTTCTCCAATTCAAGAAACTAAACCGACGCCGTTTCATGCTCCGCCACAGATCCCGAAGGGTTCGTTTTCTTCGTCGTTCAAAACGATTGATTTCTCTTCTCTCTCCTCCGTGACGACGGAATCTGATCACAAGAAGCATCAGCATCAGCATCATCATCATCATCATCAGCAGCATCGTCCTTCCGAAACGACGCCGTTTGGGACTCAAAGCCTCTCTACCACGGTTTCTTCTTTCTCCAAATCAACGAAGAGAAAATGTAATTCAGAGAATCCTATCGCCGGAAAATGCGCCTCTGCTTCCTCCGGTCGTTGTCATTGCTCCAAGAAAAGGTATTATATTTATTCGATTCGATCGAATCTTAATTAGATTTGGTATTTAAATTCGACGACCTAAGAATAATTTTTTTTTAACTATTAAGTAGATTTGGTATTAGATTCGATCGAAATTGTTTTTTTTTTCTGTTTCAGGAAGATTAAACAAAAGAGAGTAGTTAGGGTTCCGGCGATAAGTGCTAAAATGTCCGATGTTCCTCCAGACGATTATTCATGGAGAAAATACGGACAAAAACCAATCAAAGGATCTCCTCATCCTAGGTACTAAAATAAACGAATTTTAATTACGAAAAATCGAAACTTTTTGGAATTGATTATGAATCTTGAAGTGTGACTCTGTTTCTTGATTTTGTAAAAACAGAGGATATTACAAGTGCAGTAGCGTAAGAGGTTGTCCAGCTCGTAAACATGTGGAGAGAGCAGCTGATGATTCGTCGATGCTAATCGTTACTTACGAAGGAGATCATAATCATTCTCTCTCCGCCGCTGATCTCGCCGGCGCCGCCGTAGCTGATCTCATTTTGGAATCGTCTTGAAAGATAAAAAAATCTGAAGACTTTATGATATAAAATTAGATCTCCTTAGTGAAAGTGTTTTTTTTTTTTTGAAAATTCCTTAGTGAAAGTTACTTGTCTCTTTTGTTTATGTTTTAAAATGACTGAAACTATGAAATCATGTAATGAAAAGTTCATATCAAAATTCGATTTGAGTTTTATTAACCATATAGAAAAAGTTCGTGTTTAGAAGAAAGAAAAAAAACGATTTTAACTCATATTTTTGGATTTTGTTAGATTCTTTGTTTTTGATAGGAAAAATATTTTGGTTTTGGGTTACGTTTCATTTGCAGCCTCTTTATTTTTTTTTGACAAATCACAATTTGAGTGGCAAGTTGCAGTTTGAAGAGTTTTTTTTTTCTAATTTGGAAACAAATAAAAAAAGCTTGGTGTCGAATTGAAAAGTAAGAAGGAGATGGGACACATAAATTGGCCAAAGGATAAGAAAGATTTGGGACCAAAGATGTCGTCTTTGACCATAGCTTCTACGACCAAAAAGGGCTATTTTTCAACTTTCTTTGTTGTTTATCCTTTTCAACTTCTTTATGTAAAAAAAAAACTAAACACAAATTATTTAAAATTGAAATTTAAAACTTAATAAATAAACATGTCGAAAGGGGTAAATTCATATATAATATAAGCAACAGTCAATTAAAAATCATAATTAACGAATTAACTCCAAAATATAAGAATTAAGTTATGTTTTGATTTTCTTTATTATATAATATATAATAATGTAAAAATAATAATTATTAAGTAGATTTGGTATTTTGACCTATGGTAATTAGTAAAACATGTATTTATAAACCGATTGGTAATTCCAGTATTAATTAAATAGATATAAAATTTGATATCGACTATCTAATTTCTTACATATATATATATAGTAAATTATAATACACGTATGTTCTTTTTCGAGTTGGATATAAATTATGTAAAAGACGAATAACGGTAATAATTACTACTGTCCAGTCTTATTAAGTAGAACTAGGTATTTATCCGCGCAATGCTGCAGGTTGTTATTTTAAATTTTATATATTTTAAAAATAAAAAGTTATTTTTTTATAATATAAATAAATATTATATTTATTTTTTATTTAGCATAAGTTTTGGATTTAGACCATATTTATTTCTCCATCTATATGGTTCATTTGAATAAAAATGAGAATTTTGTTTGTTATGTAACAAAATCAAAAAGTATTTAGATGAATTATCTAGATGATTTTTCAAGATTTAAATAAATTTATGAAAATTATCTGAATGAACCAAATTGGACTATCTTGATGGAGATGTTTCAGTTCAAAATGATAAATGACTAAAATACTCTTAAATTTAAAAATAATAAAAAAACCTAAAATCATATTTTTCGAAAAAACCACAAATTATGCTTTTCTAACGAAATCTGAAAATTTGTATTTTTTTTTTCTAAACTGGTAAAATCATATTTTCTGGTAAAATCAAGAAATCGCATTTTTCAACTAAAACTAAAAAAACACTTAGTTTACTTATGATCATAAATTTCTCTACTCGCAGGTTATATTCATATTTTTAATTATGAAACTTTTAATGCATGTTTTTCTTACACTAACTAAAATAATTATTTTAACATTAATATTTCTTTAGCATTAAAAAAATATTTAGTAAAAAACCACAAATGAAACAACAATTCACATTAGCTTACATATTTACTATAGCTTAAGTTTATATATTGACCAGATAGCTACCTTAGCTCTAGAAATTAAAAAAGCTACAAAATATATCGAAAGAAACCAAATAACCATGTCAAATGTTTGAAGCTCGTATTTAATTGACCTCAGATCTTTTAACTTTATTTTTCTTCAGTTCTTCTTCTCTCACATATGCTAGAAACAAGTCTAGCAACTACGAAAATGGCTTCATAATGTCGTCATTCCTCCCATTCTCTAAATCATATCAGTGTTCCTTTCATCTATTGAATATAGTCACTGGTCGAGATTTAGGCAGTTGGCAACTTTTTCGATCAGGTCTCTAATACCTTTAAACATAATATATTTGCTTTCAAAAACTTAATACACTTTCAAATATTCATTCATAAATATACAATAACTTGATTAAAAAATACTCATTCTTTTGATAATTAATTAAAATTTGATGCACTTTCTCTTTGTCAAAGTATAAAAAATTATTTAATTTCAATAAATAGAAAACATAATTTTCTAAATTTTTTACTTTTTCTCATATCCTTGCTTTAAACATGTAAACATTAACATTATCATAACTAAACATTAGTCACACTTATATGTATATATCAAACCTTCAAACTTCACACTATATTTAGATATAGTTTTATAAATAAGTCATAGGACAGATATGATACAGGAGTAACACCCAAATACAAAGACCCAAAACATTAAAATATTAAACGCAAACCTAAATACAACTTAAACTACAATGGTGTTAATGTAATTGGATATCTCATCCGTCTTTAGCATCAGGGACAAAGCTTTACCACTTTAAAGTTTCAACATTCAGAAAATTCATCAACACAATGCGATTGTAGATCTTTTTCAAACTCTTTCGAGAACCACCATATCTCCTGAATAGATCCATGGTTAAAAAATTCTTCTTCTCCACAAAGTTGCCACAAAGTTAAAATCTTAGAAGTGAAATCGTAAGTTTGATGAGATAACAATATTAATTGATTCATTAGAATTTTAGGTTTGTTTGTCAATAAACGTTATCAATTAGTTAGGTTAATTAGATAATTTCTAGAATAATTGAAGAAGATGGACGAAGAAGATGATGATAGAGAAAATGAGAAAGAAGATGTTGATAATATACAATGAGCTTTAGTTTGTTTTTTTTAAAAAAATTTTAAAAAATTAAAAATTATAAAACAACACATAATACATTATTAAAAATGGTGTGTTTTAATTTTTGTCATCGATATAATAGTGGTTAATTTTGCAGTTATCTCAAAATAATAATATTAGACTTCAATTTCTATGTATTGTCCATATTAGATCTTATTAATGAAAAATTCTGATGATAAAAAAAAAATTGCCTATGTGTCAAAATATTGAGATGAAGTGTATTAATGAAAATTTTTAATTGGTTCAATATTTTGCTGATGTGCCAGCTTCTAATAACACAAAAAAGCTGAATTGTCAACACATGGAGAGAGACTTATGAGTTATTGTTGTATTGATCCATTATGCATCGCAAGTTTAAAATCCTCATAAGAAACAATTTAGACCGAAACCAGAAGATGTAACATGTTCGTTTAGTTTCTTTTGTTGCGACAGTGATTGAATACCGAATGGTAAATTGGCGATTATAAAACACTAATGTAATATTGTTCATAAATATCAACGCGTACAGTTTCTTAAAACGTAGGAGAGATCTGTGATCGCCATGTATTAAATTATATATCAAGAATTATTTTTGATATTGTTATTTTCTGCAAAAGGAAAATAAGGAAAAGAGAGAAAGTGGCAGAAGAGAAGTTGTCGTGTTCATGTGTTCGAACATGTGAATCGGTTGGAGTTTTGTGGAGGACGAAACAAATTGGATTGGACCTTTGAGACACTAACGTGTCTTTTGGTTCCACCTTAGTCTCTCCTTTTAAGTCATTCTTTTTGACACTTCGTCTCTTCTAATTTCTAAATCTTTTCTTCGATATCTAAATGTTCATTTCTATGCTATAAGTTAAGTAGTTTTTACCTTTGCGAATCTCAAATTCACTTGAAAAAAATCTCAAACTAACGAGTCAATATTGGGCGTATTATGGAACAAGAGAATGAGAGGAAAAGTTGGTTATGAATTTATTTTATTATTATTTTATCAGATTGTAAAGTATACACTACAAAGTAAGACAAAACATTAAGTTAAACGGGCCTATCAAACTATTAAATTACGATAGTTCTCTTAATAATGAGTATAAATGTTTTGCAGGTAACTACTTTTCGATTTAAAATGTTGGAACTGATGAGGGGTAAAGATTTTGTGAATATGTTAGCCATTTGATCATCAGATTATATATTAAGAAGACTTTAATCCGATTCGAACCATATAACAATCTAATACAGTGTGTTTTGTTCTTTCATAAAGCACAAATTGGTGTTAATATAGATTTGCTGCAGTACTATCCCAAAAATAAAAAGAAATGAAGCAACTTTTAGATAGTGAAACAAAATATTTAACCAGACCATTTCACAAGAAGCAAGAGCTAAATCTCTAGAAGCAAATGATCAAATAATGTATGTTGTTTCTTGGATTTCCATGAGGACAATGAAGAACCAGGAAGCATCTTAAACCCGTTTGTATCTTCTATACTATCTGCAACAGAAAATATCTTGAGAGTGAGAACAGAGGATGCTGAGTTTAGGCCCACAATTACAAGAATTGAGTTTATTAGGGATACCAAAGACAACATGGGCTTACTAATAGGCCTACTAAGACCAACCACCTCCTTTTTTGACATAATCAATCTGCTAGTATGTTTAACTTTATCAATCATGGTTACTTTTTTTTTTTTTGCGCCGATTACTTTATTTCTATAAATCCGATTAATAACTTTTTGACCGTCTAACAAAAAACTAATCACAGTTGTCTTTATACAATAGAAACTTTCTTTGTTTTACAAAAACTACCATTTTACTTTTTTTCACACATTTTTAAAAAGATTATTAAAAAATATAGTCTACCCTTTATAAATACATCAAAAACAATTCTTTTTCTAATTAATATATTAACATAACAAGATTAAAAATTATATTTTTATTAACGAAATTGTATTGCAAATACAAAGTAACAGAAGAAAAATAAAATCTTAGAATGACATTCGGTGTAAACCAGAGAAAACATTGTGAAACAGTGGAGTTGAATGGTATACAGCTTTTTCACGTTTTCACGTTTTGAAAACGTGATTCTACTAAATGCATAATATTCATAATATTAAGCATTGAATGATAAAATAGTGAAAAGTAACATACTTTTTTTTA